TTGATTCCTCATCAACTGTCTCACTTGCCCTTTGAATGTTTCCATTCTCCAATAGCAAGGACAGTTTGGAATCAGGAAGCACTTCCTTAGCTTTGGTGTCCACAATCTCATTGATAAAATCTTGAGCAAATTGAATGGAACTGCCCTCATTCAAACTTCTATCAGTGAACTCCAAGAGATCAGCAACAGAAACAGTCTTGAAGTTGATGTTCACGGAGTTCTCCTCGACCCTAGTGAAAACTATGACCATCATTTGAGCTAGAACGGACTTAGCGCAGATCTGATTGGTGCCGTTCAAGCCACCTAGATACACATTATAACAAGACCTGACAATGTGCACAAGGCAATCTCCCCGGAGAATGACGTAGGGTGACCGGACAGCAGATAGGAGGACGCGAAGAAGGCCGAGCTCGATAGCCTCTTCATCTAGAGCGCCACACTTGCAGACGGAATCAATCAAGCGAAATATGATGGGAGGGGGGGTTCCAACCTCGATCTCGCCCCTGATGAGGCCGAAAGAAAACAATCTGAATGTGCAGTCGAGAGCTGGCTCCACCACCTTCGGGGAAGCAGAGTCGAGGGCGAGGATGATGGGCTGCAAGACGAATTCAGCGTCAGGTGAAGAGAGGCCATAGAGAGGGGAGCATGAAGCGGGATCGACGGGGTCATCGACTATAGAATCGAGCTTGTCGAGAGCGGACTTGCAGGCAGCGACCAGCTGAGAGTGCTTCCTCCACGCGACGTTCTTGATGATCTTGTCCAGCGATGGGCCCAGAACCCACCCGCACCGAGAATGACCGCCCAGTGTTGGCGGAGGAACGGCAGGGGTGGCGGGTGCAGCACCTCCACCCGACATCTATCGGATCTCTTCAGGTGGGTACTGTTCCGTTCATTTGATCTGCATTCTTCTACTCTTCTGTCGGTTGCTTGAAGAATCAGCTTCCTCGTTTTTGCTATAATGCAACAATCGATCAATCAATGATTTGTGAAATCTCTTCGCAGTTGAGCATTCTTCGTGAAGTTTTTTTACAAGTGTTTCGTTGTACACATCCTTCACAAGTTATGTCTGTATAACAAATGTGTCTGAGACGGGAGTATGCCTGAAAAATACGTCTATCATTTGAAAAGTGATAAAAGTTCATTTCCTTGATTAGTATAGTAATACCTCCTTCCCATTCAAAGGTTATAAAGAACTATTCATGTTGTCAATTTAAATCATTTTTTATTTTTTTATTTTTTTGGAGAAGAAATAGGTTTAAATTGATAATAAATCATTCAGATAGTAAGTAATCCGACAAAAAGATACTTGACAATCGTCGTCCATAAATAATCATAAATCATTTCTTTTTTATTTTATATATCAAAATTTTATCAAATTTACATTTTCTTATCAAGTTTTGTAGCAATTTTAATGTAGTTTCTGAATATGCAAATTTTATTTACTAAAAAAAATCAGAGTGTGAACAAGAATCAATTCATTTTATCATCAGTCAAACATCGTGAACCGAATCGGGAATCTCTCTATGGAATGGAGGGAGTATTATAGTAAATGTTACACTAAAAATTGCGTTAAAAACCCAAATCAAAATTATCAAATTATTATGAAGAAGTAGGGATAAACAACTTTAAATAGGTGTAGTAAATCCGACTAAATCATTTGGGTAAGATAAAATAAATCCTTATAACTTGTTCAAAAGTTACTTGCACTTTATATAAATAAGCATAAACTATAGAGTTCACATTTGTGTAAAAGAGGGTGAAATAAACTTAAACATATAATTATTGCTTTAAACAGAGATGAAAAGTTGTTTGGAACAACTATATGAAAAGTTGTTTGGAGCAACTAAATATTCCATCTCTTAAATCTTTGTCAATTGTCCTTTTTTATTGTTCTAACAACTTTGTTGTTTTCCCTTTTAAGTTAATAATTTGTTGTTTCAGTTAATTGTCTCTTCTTTGCACAAATATCAACCACACAGTTTTTACTAATTCATATACCGATCAAACTTGAATAAATTTTAAGGGACATGAAAGTATTAACCATATTCGTTATATAAGTACATTAAATTAATATAAAAGAATTATCGTATATTGAAAAAGTTAATAGGTCGAATCATTCAGTTGCTTCACATAGAATAATAGCATGCTCATTAGTGGACATGTTACATATTGGTTGAAATTATTAGGGTGTTTGGATAAAAGTGTAAAAATGCTTCTAATTGCTCTAAGTTATTCATAGAAGTGAATTTTTAAAGGGAAAAATAATAAAAATAGTAAAATACCCCAAACTTTGATGGGGTGTGAAGTAAACACCTCAAACTTGCTTATGTAATTTAAATACCTCCAACTTTATATAAAAAGTAATTTTCGCACCATTGTCATGTATCATTTCTTTCAAAAATGTAAATTTATGGGGTTAATTGCATAACTTAAAATAGCAAATTAATAGTGTTGCAATTATATAGATTGGGGGTACATTATTTATTTCACAATGGAAGCTTATAGTGTTAACTGTATCTTCATGAGTTCTTAAATATTTTAAATTATGCAATTAAAATCATAAATTTACATTTTTGCAAAAAATAATAATTGACTATGGTGCCAAAATAACTTTTTATATAAAGCATGTGAGATATTCAAAATACATATGCAAGTTTGGGGTGTTCATCTCACACCCCTTCAAAGTTTGAGGTATTTTAATTATTTTTCCCATTTTTAAAAAATTGAAGAGACCGAAATTGAATGTGATGTAGTCGGGGCAATTTCGGAAATCCGGGGAGGTTCAACTGTTCAAGTTGCTCCTTGGTGGGACTTCTGAGAGACGACATTAGAGATACGACAGATTCATTTTCGTTCATTTCATTTTGTCATGTGAGGTGGTCAGCGAATAAGCCAGCTCATTTGTTAGCTAGAATGGCTTGTTCTTTGTATGGTTTGCAGTCTTGGGTTGATTATCCTCTTGCTTTCATTGTTTCGGCTTTAACCAACAATTTGATTAATGATAATTGAATATCTTTCATTCAACAAAAATTGAAAAGCCCAGCTTCTAAGAAATTGATTTTGAATCTACTTGTATTTAAAAAAGAAAAAGGAGAATCGGTTGCAAACATCCACATAGTCTGTTCCATTAAAATGAAAGGAAATAATATGCGGAAAACATATAATGCATTTACTATTCTTAAATAAATCTTGTTCATATTTGTTCCTCATATGATAATTAATATGATATTGATTGAACTATTAATGGAAGCTAATAACTGAATGTTTACTATTTGTATTTGCAATATACTACCCTCTGTCCCTCTTCATTCCTTATAACTTGACTAAGTTTGATCGACACATGAAATGATAAAATAAAAAACGTGCAATTCAGATTTGTGCAAAGAAACCAAATATTACGAATAACAAATTAATTAGTTAAAATTGATTGTATAAAATATTCCGGAACACCTAAGAAGACAAGATGACACAATTATACGAGACGTGGTGTCGCTGTTTAACCTTAAAAAGGTAAATATATACATGACGATTTAAAATATTTTTAATTGCTATGAATGTTTTTTATTTGATATGTTCAAGACTTGTCTAGTTTGGTAAATGTCCATTTTGTGTATATTTTATTATTATCTAAGTTTGATCTGGTCAAGTTTAAACTCTTTTGAAGTGGTTTGGAGACTATTAGTACTCAGCCATGAATTTTGGACTTGTTTTAAATTGAAGTATAGTCAATTTGAAAGTATTTCAATATTCAATATTTTAAATATTTTAGAGGTCAGCTACCCACTTCATTGTAATCCTTCACATCTTTGCCCATCTATCATTATTTTTTGAGAAACTGATCTAAATAGGACAAAAAACGTTTGTGTATTTCAAAATATGATTTTTTATGTTTTTATTCTCTAAATACGAGTAATTACTGTCACATTTTGGTAGTATCAAACTTGAAACATGACTATATTTTCCAAACTTGACATTAGTTACTCAGGGAATTAAAATGATTCAGTCCTATTTTGAAATCCTTAAATGTTTTTACTCATATTTTATGAACTTTACCTCATTTTTTTCTAAAAGAGAAAAGCAGTAAATAAACCATTAAACTATTAGTGACTGCAAACAATCCATTAAATAGAAAAATCTCACATATACATCCTTCAATCAATTGATATAAAAAAATCTGATCCTTTTTACCTTTTAGTGTCGGTAAGTTGGTAACTTTCTCGGAAGAAGTTATCCGCACAAGTAAAAGGGATGTGATTGCTTTATTTCAATGGATCAATGATATTACTTGCAATGTCTTCCGATTCAGGAGTGTGATTGTAGAATTGTCAAAAGTTTGAAGGCTTATTTGACTTTTTTATCTTTTTAATCCCGAGACATGTTCCATTGAATACCTCGAGGCAAGGGCCAAGACGCAAAAAATATTATGTAATCTTTAATACTCCTAAAGCAAACCATGAAACCAATCACACAATTGCATGACATAGCTCAACTTAAAGATGTTACTTCACTTGTCTTGTAATAATTGTAATTTGCGGATTTTAAGATTGAATGAAGATAAAGTTAAATCATTATGCGAATAGTTAAATAGGTTTAATAAATAAAAATGGAATGTAAGAAAATTAAAAAAATTATATGATTAAAATTTGTCTGGAAGAAATAAATAGAAGCACACATACCTTACTTTGCAAAAAAACGCGAGGTGTGCTAGGTGTACACTCGTCTCTCACACACAAAAAATTGTTTCTCCACAGACAACTCTGTAGAATTGTCTGTAGGCAGACAATTCTTTGTACGTGAGACAGACAGATGTACAAAATGTGTACACAAAAATGTGTACACAAAACATTTTTGAAAAAACACTCATCAATCTAATCCAATCTATCTACAAAAATGTTTGATGCACACATTCTGGTGTACATCGTTTATACATTCGTCTGTCTCACACACAAATAATTGTCTATTTATATACAATTCTATAGAGTTGCTTGTTGAAAGATAATTGTTTATATGTGAGACAAACAAGTGTAATATACAAAAATGGGTAAAAAGTCGTCTGTCTATTTGGTATTTTGGTCTAAGTCGGCATTGGCGACTCCTTTTGACTAGACATCCGTAATTCTGTCTGGCGTCCGATTGGTTATGGATGACCGGGGATGGGTTAATTGTTCGATCAATAATTGTTTCCCTGTCCAATCCCAAAGCTCGCATTCCTCCCCCCAGACATCCGAAAAATGCCCCAACCTGGCCTCAAGGTAAGGTTTAAATTCTTTCTGCAATTGCTACCTCCTAGGAACATCCCATGATCTCCAAAAGAGGAATTAATTTTTGTCCGGCAATTCACAGTTCTTCCACATCCAAACCAGGTATCTCATTTCCCACATTCCCTTCTCCCATCTTCATTCCTCGCTACTTCAACTTCCACCAAATATTCTCAAAAAATCAAGTCTTGATTCAATTATCCAGACATCAAACATATTCTTTTAAAGTTTTTTTGTCTTTAATAAATGTTTAGACCGCAAAAATTTCTAAATCTGAAATACCATCCCTACAGATCTTCTCTTAGCTCCATATTTTCTAAGATGTGTATTAAATACTCTGCAGCTGTCTATGGATCTTATTTTCACATTTCAGACAAGCTTTTGCCTTTTTACAGTCCTATGTTCTGTCAATTTTGCGAATTTGTTATTTTTTCCTTAAAAGAATTATTAGGCTGTAGATTTTTGTTTTTGTTTCTGTTATTTTTTCTAATCTTAGCAGTATTTATTGTGTATAATGTATATGCGTGCGTGTATACATTATTGCATTTGAAATTTTGAATGTATACTATATAGGGAAATTCCCCGAATTAGGAGTAAAAATAATATGGTTTTCCTACATAGGAGTACTACATTTTTTAATCCTGATATAATACTGACATAATTTGCTTTTATCAGGCATAATGTGCAATATCAATCCCATATTTGGCATTATTTTCAAAGCATGACAATAATTAACCATGTTTAGAGAAAAACACAGTACTTTCACTTTGGGAAAACACAATTTCACTCATATTTAGGACAATTTATGTACGTGTTTTACTAAGGAATCTGCACTTCTGTCACCCTTTTTGAATTATTGCCAGTGATAGAATTTCTTATTTTTATATCTTTCATGGTACTAATTTGTTCCTGCATATATCAGTACTTATAGTCTCATTGATTTGTTTGGCTCACATATTCTTCTATAAAAAGGGTTCAACGAGATTAAGTTGTACTGATATTAACTAATAAAAAATGAAAAGGCCTTGTTGTTAGCCAGATAGCGATGTAATGCATATAGCTATTTGTATGCATACTGATAGTATATAATTCAAGTTATTCAACCTATAATATGTTTTTTTTCTATAACAAGAAATTAATTTGCACAAATTTACTTGCAGACATCAGATAAACTTTATAATGACAATAACAATTTGACCTTAAATCTAACGTTGAGATTCATTCTGATATTTTTTTTTAGTGTTACCTATTAAAACCAGACTCATGCGTAAATATATTACTTCATGTTGATTGGTTTAAGGTAAGTTTAGGCTTATTCTTAAACTATCAATTTTTACTAAATATGCTACCCCCAATTGCTTCCCTATTCATTTAGCTTTAGAGTTAATGTTTGAAAATCATTGTAAAAGCACATGTTTATGGCCTTTTCACCATGTCATTTTTCACTGTAACTGCCAGTCAACGTCATTCTATTGAATATATTCTATATACCCTTGATTTATTTTTGCAAACCACTTCTTAAAGAAAACTTGAGTGCCAGGAGATTAACACTATGCTGTGCCTGTATCTTTAGTGTAATCTCGATTTCCCTATCATGGTTATGGATGAGTAAATCAAACCGCTTGAAAAATTAAATGAATGTTGAACTATATGTATATAAAAACAACTGAAACTCTTTAATGTTTATCAATCTTTTAAAGATAACCTATAAAAAAAATTCGTACACATCTTTTTTATATATCATATACGGAGTAGTAAACTTTTTGTACAAGCTTGCTATTTACTGGTAAGAGCATTAGGATTTTGATCCATTCAGTTCAGTGCCTTTTGTTATATTTTCTCAGTTCACAGTTTTATATTCCCTCCGCCCCATTTGTTTATCTGAAATATAAACTAATGAACCAAGCTAAAAACTCTAAAACTGGTGCTAAACTGCTAAACACAACCATTCCACTGTCTCCATTTTTAAGCTCCTTCCACAAAATCTCTAAATATCTCAACCTTGTTGTTAGCATATTTCATTCACCATGCTTAGATACTAGAATAGATAGTAGGATTTTTTCCTAAAAAAGTTGATTCCTTGGTTGAAGGAAGAAAATCTTTGACAAAGGAGCATAGACACATAGTTGAGCTGAAAAATTAACTAGAATAGAAAATTGTCTAAAGTTCAGTGTTTGGGTTGCTGGTGTGATAAAAACCAACATTTTTTGTTCAATTTATAGACAGAGGATGATGTCATTTCACCTCCAAACATCCTGCGGGTGGGGTTAAATTTCAAGAGGTTTGAATTTTGTCATTACTCATTAGGAACCACAAAACAGGTACCATTATTCATGTATCTAGAGTTTTTGTGGTGCTCAAAATTCTACTGTACATTATTTGAAAATAGAAAAAGATTAAAATCAAAGCATATTATAAACATTTTCTTATTTTTACTCTAGAGCTTACCCTTATTTATGTTACTATTTTCTCAGTCAATTTGGCAAATGAAACTCATTAGTACTGGGGGCATGCTAACCACCGCCCATAGGGCAATGGTTGAGTAACTAAAGTTAGATTTTTGTCAATTTCAAGTCATATGAATGTGTGCAAAAACACATCTCAGTGCTTTTGTTTTGCATCCTCATTTCTAGTTTTATTTCCTCAAAGGCTTAAACAATGTTGGCTTAGGTAAGCATTTGCCTTATTATTATTATTATCAAGGATGTTGGCCTTACTATAATAGGTTAGAAAGCAAAAAAAGAACATATTGATAGGATATGCTATTTGATTTTCTCATTTCCTATTTCCGCTTCTACTTTTCCAGCTTAGTTTTCATTTGCTTTATAGAAAACCTTGGATGAGTAAAGAATTGTTAGCTGCGGAGTTGCTGAGCTGAGGGGGGACTTGTGATTGTTTCATGGGCAACACATGCCGTGGATCTTTGGGAGGCAAGCATTTTCAGGGCTACACACAGCCCGAAGATCATTCCATTTCCAAATGCAAACAATCTTCTGGCTGTTCGAAATCTTGTCCTGATAATCATAAATCCTCACCCACTAAGCTACCCTCTCACGATAATCAAGATTTTGCTAAGGATACCCCATCCAGCCCAAGCAAAGACCAACCCATACCTATCATTTGTCCTGGAAAAGAGAGAATGCATCGCCCTACCAATAACCAGGCTCATAATGTGCTAGGTCATAAGACTGCTAACATTCGTGATCTATACACACTGGGCCGTAAGTTGGGTCAAGGTCAGTTTGGCACTACTTACCTCTGTACTGAGATTTCCACAGGTATCGAATATGCTTGTAAATCTATTTCAAAAAGAAAGTTGATCTCCAAAGAAGACTTGGAGGACGTACAGAGGGAAATTCAGATAATGCACCATTTGGCTGGTCACAAGAACATTGTTACTATAAAGGGGGCATATGAAGACCCTTTATATGTTCATATTGTGATGGAACTCTGTAATGGTGGCGAGTTGTTTGACCGCATCATTCATCGAGGGCACTATAGTGAGAGAAAGGCTGCTGAATTGATCAAAATTGTTGTTGGGGTTGTTGAGTCATGCCACTCCCTTGGGGTTATGCACAGAGATCTTAAACCAGAGAATTTTTTGTTGGTTAACAAGGATGATGATTTCTCTCTCAAAGCCATTGATTTTGGACTCTCAGTCTTTTTCAAGCCAGGTACTTCCTCCCAAAATGGAAATATCAATTTGACTTATCAAGTCAAACCTTATTCATGCTTCATAAACTGTACCCCGAATTATTTTACACTATGGAAGTATTCTCAACCAATCTGCGCTAATATTTTTTTTTGAAATATTAATTTATTATAATTTTATTAATATATAATTGTATAAAATAATTGTTAAACATGGATATTGATGACTGTGAAAGACTGAAAGTTATATTGATACTTTATTTTTGGTACAGTGCACACACATAATGCCCCACTTAGTTCTTCTTTAATTTCCTTTATTAGATTATTTAGCCACATCACTGGATTAGTTTCATACTTCCATTCATTATAAAAAATCTAGAAGACCCTCATTGGTTACCCTATAATATACACCAACCTTACGAAATTAGTAGTATATCCTTGTATAAGTAAATATGTATGTTTATGTGATAAGGGTTTAATGGTTATTTTGTGGGGGTGGTGTACACCATGATGTAACTAATGATGTACCCCTCCCTTTTGGGTGCTTGCTTAGTTCATTTTTTTCTATTCTAATGTATGCCTGGAAAATTACCAAAACAAATAAATCCATCTTATAACATTTTTTTTGCAATATATTGATGTATCAGGTCAAATATTTACTGATGTTGTTGGAAGCCCATATTATGTTGCCCCTGAGGTGCTTTTAAAGCATTATGGTCCAGAAGCAGATGTCTGGACAGCAGGGGTTATACTCTACATATTGTTAAGTGGTGTACCTCCTTTTTGGGCTGGTAGGTATTCATATCCCGCAAGTCAAACTTGCCAAGTTCTTTGTTTTACACTATAGAAAGTAGCTCATATTTTCTTTGGTGGGTTGTAGGCACATGATAATTTAATCATTTTCCGTAATCCCAACAATTGAAACTTATTTCTTTTTTCAGAAACACAACAGGGTATATTTGATGCTGTATTGAAAGGACACATCGATTTTGACTCGGACCCTTGGCCCTTGATATCAGACAGTGCAAAGGATCTAATCAGGAAGATGTTATGCATGCACCCATCTGAGCGCTTAACTGCTCATGAAGTATTGTGTATGTTTTACCCTTAAAACCCAACTAAGTCCTCTCTTTCATTTATTTAGTTTGAAAGCGTTTGTTTTTTCGAGTATTGTTAGTAAATGCCAGTGACAGTAATTTTCTGTAAGATGTTAGTGTGTTATTAATAGTGATACAATAGATTCCATAAAATGCCGTTAGTAATAAGTATACTTGCTTAGGGTGCCAGAAAACATTCTGGTGGATAATTAGTTGCTGTGAGCTATCTACAGCCCTTTTTTGAGAAATTGTCTTCAGCATGATTCATGCATCGAAATAATGGATGGAGAAACCAAATGAACTTGATTGTCAGATTTATTTAGCCTTTTCACCTAGGTCCAAACCTTAAATATAGTTTCAGGTGCATTAAAAGAGTGAAGCGGAAGCAGCTCACCTATAGCTTGATGAAATGACTGGATAGTATGTAGTTTACCCCAATTGAAGGAACTGTATGGTTGCTGGTATTGTACGATAAACCGGATAGGTACCACGATACGCAACAAAATGGGTCTATTGGTATGGACCGCAAGAATGAACTGTGTGTGAATGAATTGTTGGCTACTTAGAGTAAATAAGGTGGGTGTGGGTCACTCGACCCTTTTCAGATAGACCCTTTCAGAGTTGTTGGGTTCAAGTGAAATACATGCCAGAGCTCAAATTCCTCTACACCAATAAATATACAGAAGTGTGCAGCTGAAGAGAGAGTATTGCCGGCTCATCAATGCCCATACTAGAGCTTCTGATCTTGAGTACTTAATTTTGTTTCAGTGATATTTCCCCCTTTACACCAATTCTTTGCACCTATTCTCCCTTCTTTCTTAAATTGGGAGAATGAAATTGGAAAAAAGGTCAAAAAACCGCTCTCACTTTCTCAACCCTGTGAATTTGTGATAGGATATTTCATATTTGTGGTGATGTTACTTAACTGTCTCCTTGTGTCCTCTTAAAATGTACTTACAGTGGTAAGATATTCGAGGTGATGCGCTAATAGCTGCCAATTTCCCCTGAGGCACTATGTGTGTACTGTAAAATATACTGTATTAATATATTCACATGTACACATATTAATATATTATGTTTTGTTTTAATATGTTACAATTCATAACACCATATGATTCATGATTTAAAAATCAGTCTTGCGATTCATGATTTGAAAATCAGTGTGATTCATGATTTGAATCTTGATTTGATAAGCATGGTATACAATGAAAACCAGTTTACTTCTTATACAGGTCATCCTTGGATCTGTGAAAATGGTGTTGCTCCTGATAGGGCATTAGATCCAGCTGTACTCTCTCGCCTCAAGCAGTTTTCGGCTATGAACAAATTGAAGAAGATGGCTTTACGAGTAATTATTGTTTTTACCTTTCTTTTCCTCAACTGAATAATTAGTCTTACCTTTCATTTATTTGGGTAATGATATGCAAATATGGCATTTATAATCATGTTTGTTTTTTTAGGTAATTGCTGAAAGCTTGTCAGAAGAGGAGATCGCTGGTTTAAGAGAAATGTTTAAGGCCATGGATACTGATAACAGTGGTGCTATTACATTTGATGAACTCAAAGCTGGATTAAGAAAATATGGATCTACTCTGAAGGATACAGAGATACGAGAACTAATGGATGCGGTAATTTAATTGTTGGGCAGCGTAAATTCGGCAATCACATAAACTCAATAAAAATATTAAATTGATGAATGGTTGTTTTAGAATGTGAATAAAATCAACATACGAATATTTTGATTTGTTTGTAATCACTTCTAAGAGTTCTAGCATAAATGCTGAACTGTGAACTTCTGCTAGGGTTGTTACTTTTCTGATAAGAATTACTATAATTTCAGGCAGATGTGGATAACAGTGGGACCATCGACTATGGAGAATTCATAGCGGCTACTATTCACCTTAACAAATTAGAACGCGAGGAACATCTTATGGCTGCGTTTCGATATTTTGACAAAGATGGAAGTGGATATATTACAGTTGATGAGCTCCAACAAGCTTGTGCTGAACATAACATCACAGATGTTTTCTATGAAGATATTATCCGAGAAGTTGATCAGGACAATGTAAGTCCTTGATGACTTGTGAGAGAAGCAACTTGATCTTTAGTTGCTTTTCTCCCCCATTGCAGAATAATCATGAACATTATTGCCCATCAAGAGAGGAGAGCTAACTGAATAATCTTTGAGATGGACATTATACTATGTCTTTTCTGAAGTAACATTCTTTGAGCTCTATCAAAGACAGTGAACACAGATGCACACTCATTCTATTGTTGACATTTTAGCATCCTAGAAGGATAGATAATAGAGTTAGTCACACGCGGTTAGTTAAGTAGTAGAAGAAGATATCAACAACGTTTATTTACCGATTATATGGTGGCCTGTAATGTAGATGTGGCAGCTCTAGTAGTTAATGGTTGCTTGCATAGATCCTGTAATCTAAGGCTTCCATTCATTTTTTTACCTAGTTTTTTTTCCTATATTTGATTTACATTGAGGGTAATTTTTTGCTTTATTTTTGCTTCTGTTGTATCTTGTTCTGCATGATCTCACTCATATTTACATTTGCAGGATGGAACGATTGATTATGGGGAGTTTGTTGCCATGATGACAAAAGGAAATGCAGGTATCGGAAGGCGAACTATGAGAAGCAGTCTTAATATAAGCATGAGGGATGTACCGGGAGCTCATTAGCTTTTCTGTTAGACGTAATGTTCATAGGCAGTTTGCCACAACTGTTCTATTGTTGGAAGTCTAGTTAATGTTTGTTTGGCATATGGGAAAAGACCATTTCAGTTGTTTCAAATGTTTGGAGGATTTGATTTGTGACCTTCAAGCTTTGCCACGGCAGCAGGGAGTTTGTTTTGATATCTCTTGAACTACATCATCTATATGTTGTACAGAATTGAAAGCAGATGATGATCAGTAATTGATTAGATAAGGAACAATCTATCCTTCCTTCCCAAGCTTGGAGCAATTCTCTTCTTTTATGTCATTGGGTGCCTGCTGAAATTGTTGTAAGCTTTGTAGGCTCTTCTAAGTGTGCAATTTTTTTTAGCTGCATCAAACTGGCTTGTAATGTTTTTGCTTTGCGTCATAAGTCATAACTTATGCTATTGTTTTTATTTGCATGCATAAGTAAGTTCTTACTTTTAGAGATTCCAGGAAGCGCCCTGGGAATAGTATTTATTTACTCATTGAAAGAATTTGAATAAATATTATTATATGCATAAAGTTACTACGTGTTCAATTCATCAATTCTGTTTTTTGACAATGCCTCTAATAACACTATGAAGTTGGTTGTGTATACATACTCTTAGTTACTTGTGTAGACAGGGAATTTATGAACAAGATGCTTGTGTACACAGACAACTAGGGGGTGTATACACAAAATGTGACAAATTATGTGTACAAACGACTTTTTCCTAAAATGTTAAAGATTTTGAATGTTACGTACTTGTGTCACTATGGGTATATACAAATCTACTTTTTCAACAATGCATGTCATACATAAATATATGTATACAAAATGAATAATAAGCAATAGGAATTTGCATGAGTAATGTTAACAGCACAACTTTAAACATCTTTAGGGTTAAATAAATAAGCGTCATTCGAAGAACTTTTTGAAAAACTTTCCAATTGAATGTATCGGTATCGCTTCACATTACATCAAGTATTTTGTGGTTTGATGACATCAGTACTGATTTCCCTGATTTCCAAAGAGATTGCTGGTTCGAGTCTGGCATTAACAAATTTTCCAACATCTCAATCAAGGATGTTGGCATTAACATAAATAGAATCATAGATACTATAATAAGTTTAGAAGAATATTCCAAAAAAAACTCTTCACATTAGAATAAGATTTTTTATATAAAGAAAATAGTGATTTTATTATTGGATTGCTTTATTATTAAAATTACTATAGATAGAAGTAATTGAGAATTCTGAAATAGGAGTGTTATATTTTTATTATCTCAATAAGAGTAACAATTATTGTCAATTTAGAAAATGTTGTCACTTATTACTGTGTATTGTCATGTCTAAAGTCTAATAATGTCAAAACTAAACTCTAAATTTTTTGGATGACAATAATGTTCAATAATGTCATTTTTGGTACAGAAAGTTATATACTTCCTCCGTCCTAGAAAATTCTTCCCACTTTCACTTGGCACGAGGATTAAGAAAGCGGAATAAACTGGAAATATATGGTTGCGGTTGTGTAAGAAAAAGTGAAATGAATGTGAACCACACAAATTGTCCAAAAATGGTAAGTGAGAAGTTTTTTTTGGACGACCCAAAAAGGAAAGTGAGGAGAATTTTATGGGACGGAGGGAGTACTACGTAGTATATCTGTTCTTAATTAGTTGCAACATGTTGAATTTTACATTATTCAAATGTTATATTTTGATTATATTTTAATTATTAATTTATTAAAAAGTAATTTTTGAAAAATATCATTACATTTATCTCATCATAATTTTCAATACCTAAATTTTTAAAATCTTAACAATAGAAAATTAAATATATTAATGATCAAAGGTTCATGTTTAATTAAGCAAATTAAAATATTTCCTACATATATTTTCTACGTCAATTTTAGATTAATTTTTATACGATAGTAGGTAGGGAAATTTCTCGGGATATGATTAAAACATATTGAGTTTTCCTAAACATGACTAGTTATATTTTTAGACGTTTATATGAGTGAAAAGAAAACGAAAAAGAAAAATTTGTCAATATTAAATTGAGATAGGTAATGACCACAATACCCTTATTCAAATGATGCGCTTTTAAGCGATTTTCATCCAATTAAAAATATTGCACATTATATTGCAGTTATTACACGACATTACTACACATCCGGTAACATAGCACTACACTTCCGCCAATATTAGTTCTCTTCTCATCCACCTTAGAATTTATTTATAGTTCGTTTATTTTTAATTTTTTGTTGGATTTAATAGTTTTAGTATTTCACGTGTAATCAAATATATTGCATTTCATGTCAGTGTTATTACACTACTCGTCATAATCACTGCGCTTTCTGCCAACGTTATGACATGATCTATTGCCTTTGATTCACTGCACAATACACTTCATCAATGCATGCATTCATCCACTACCCATGTACAACATTATCTATTATCATATTCACCTTCCATACTCAACCATATTTATTGTCATGTTCACTCGCCATGGTCTATGTTCAATGTCCATGTTTAATGCGCACAAACCCTAATCTTAACAAACTCTAATATCAAAAATAGAAAATGAATAATGAGAATGGAGGCGAACGGCTAGGCGGCGGCGGTGAGCCGTAGTGCGTTCGTGGTTGATGGCGGGGGGACTGGATGGGGACGGAGGTGCGCGGATGAACAACGAAAACGGTTAAGCGTGCGGCTGGACAACAGTGACAAACAAGTGTGCGACTGGCAGCGGAGCGGGCATGCGGGTGGCCATGCCGATGGACAGCGACAAAGAGGTGTTTCTTTTGTGGGGATACGGGACACATGAAGTTCCATTGTCCTCAACGGGGGAGTAACACTACTTCGGGAGCTAATGAAGGAACCATGGGGGATATGAACCTAGCGGGGCCGTCTCAAGCGAGCACACGACATAGAGGAGATAATGTGAGCAACATACACTCCGGGAATCAAGGAAGGACTCAACGATGAGTTCACACGGGGAAGGAGACAAATTCTTGCATGAGCGCGTCCACCGTTACAGGTATTCCTTCTTAAAAGCTAGACTTCAATACATGTTTAAGTTACAAAGGTTCCAGGGGTCAATTGCCAGCCGGCCTAGGGGAAAACCGGCCGGTTTTGGCAAGTAAAACGAAAAACATTTTTGAAACTGGCGAAAACCGGGCGGCTTGGGTGAAACCCGGCCGGCTTTGGGATTAAATAAAGTGGAATTAAGCTACGGCGGCGAAACCCGGCCGGCTTTTGTAAAGACCGGCCGGCTTACGGGGTTTGTGAAGTTTTGTAAACACTCAAAACCGCACGGCTTTAGCAAAGCCCGGCCGGTTTGAGGATGAATAAAAACGAATTAAGCTGCGGCAAGGAAAAACCGGCCGGCTTTTGACGAAGACCGGCCGGCTTTTGGATTGAATAAGTTTAATTAAACTTCGGGGGATGAAAACCGGCCGGCTTTCACAGAAACCGGCCGGCTTTTGGATTAAATTTTGGGATTAAAGCTACGCTGCCAAACCCCGGCCGGCTTTCATGGAAACCGGCCGGCTTACGGGGAAACAAATCGGAGACCTGGAATTGGGTACAAGGATCGGCCGGCTTTCATGGAAACCGGCCGGCATTTGGGTAATTTTTGGTAAATTAGTCTCCAAGCTAGAAAACCGGGCAGTTTATGGAAAGGTCGGATGGTTTTCGTATATCTCGAGCCCGGTACATCTTTGGGCCTTGAAATGAACCATTACAGGGTAAGTGGGTCTTGCATTGATTTGTGGTGTAAGAACGCTAGAGTTGAGCGGGGAGAAAGATAAAATCATCCTTAATGCGGAGGCGCATTGGGTGAGTGTGAGAGGGCACTTGTAAACCGAAACGATATGACGGCCGATACACACTATTATATAACGATAGTAGTGAATGAAGGAAATTGAAAGAAGGGTCTAATATCCTTGAGTATGATTGAATCTCATAGGTTAGATCTTTGAGAAGTAATATGGGAGAAGAAAAGTGCTAGAGTTGGCTATTACACGAGAGGTTGAAAGCTCGGGGAAAATAAGGGCAGGGCCCTATGCTCCGGAGTTTAAACGAATAGGTTGAGTAGTAAGAACATGCGTTACCCAAAGAGGGGGGCAAGATTGATTATTACCGAGTAATATGGTTCGATACAAATAACGACCGATGTGATGGTCACAACACCAAATTGATTCGCCGTATATGTTACTCGTTATTGTATGAGTATCAGAAACTCGTAAGAGGATAACCAGATTCTGAGAAACTAAATGGAAGTTCAGTGATTTTGTCCGTCCACCTATGGGTGGGTAGCACGGGTATGTGAGGCGAACATTAGAGTCAAGGATGACTACTTATTTTCGAAATCCCACGAGAGTTGGGACGGATGTTTGATACGTGGAAATCTTTCCTGTAGCAATAGCTACTGTGCGAACATAAGGTCGTCTCCACAGGGAGCGTTGTATGTGAGACAGTTAGCGTAACTGGAAGATGATGAAATTCGGGTCATGCTCCGGGCACTCCTTAAGGGAGGATCCGAGGTGACTTAAGGCTCGTCTATGGGTTGTATCTTGATGGGGTATTGAAAGACGACATGAGTTGAGGGCTCGATTATCCTTGATCTACCCAACTAGTATGAGAATACTAGCCGGGAGGTAAATACAAATAATGGTAGGATTAATCCTAAGGATTCGGATAGTGAGATATTGAACCTTAAGTAGTCTTAAGAGATGCTAAGGTGGACATGCATAACTTTAAGTTATACTAGGGGTAGGCCTTAAGGGATACCCAAGATAAAAGTGAATAATAAATTGATCCTAGATATAGGATTGACCTTCGGGTGTTTTCGGTAGTCCTTGAGGATAGCCGGTTGAATTATGGTAATAAGCAAGGACCATGGCCCTTCCCGACGCTAGAGAGCGGGGTTGGATAGCATGGACTTGTAATGTAACTACGCATAAGGGTGGAATCCGAATCGGAGACCTAACGAGGCTCCGACAGCGGTAACACATAAGATAGGACCCCTAATGGGCCTTACCTTCCTACGGGATGATAGGTATGAGTCCAGGGGCGGGATGTTGGACTCCGGCCCGAGGACCCAATGAGGCCTCGGATGGCGGTGACAAGTCTCGTATGAATAATAAGACCTACGGGTTGTGTCGTGCTAACGATGAATGAAAGGAAATATGAACACGGGCTCACGGGCCAACTACATAACGGTATGCGAGTAAGTAAGTTTTACAACGGGGTATGCTAAACCCATACTAGTTAAGGCCACTTGGGAATTCTAGAAAGAATTGATGCCCAAGTGGGGAAGGACTTGTTATTCTGTAGTTAGATGGTGTAGCATCTAAATGAAATAAACCAAAAGGGTACGTCAGTATGAATGAAAATGTCTAAGGACAACAATGATAAGATGGTTAAACTATGTTATAAAATGATCAAGTCAACGAAGAGACTTGAAAAAGTATGTACTCTAAAAATAGAGTGGCGTCAGTTAAAATGAAAATGCGACGTGAATTTCGGGGACGAAATTCCTGTTAAGGGGGGGTGAACTTGTAACACCGCTCCCAATTTAAACTTGGATTTATT